TCGCCATACTGATTTCCACAGTGGCTGTACAAGTTGGCACTCCCACCAGCAGTGGAGGAGTGTTCCCCTTTCTCCACATCCTTCCAGCATAAACTATCATTGATGTTTTTGATTTTAGCCATTCTGACAGGATTAAGATGATATCTCAGAGTTGTTTTGATTTGCATTTTCCCTGATGGCTAAGGATGTTGAACACTTATGTGTCTTTCAGCCATTTTAGATTCCTCTATTGAGAATTGTCTATTTAGTTCTGTACCCCACTTTTTAATTGGATTGTTTGGTGTTTTGGAGAATAGCTTCTTGAGTTCTTTGTATATTTTGGAGATCAGCCCTCTGTCAGATGTGGGATTGGTGAATATCTTTTCCCAGTCTGTGGGCTGTTGTTTTTGTCTTGCTGACTATGTCCTTTGCCTTACAGAAGCTTCTCAGTGTCAGGAGGTCCCATTTATTAATTGTTGATCTCAGTTGTCTGTGCTACTGGTGTTACGTTCAGGAAGCGGTCTCCTGTACCAATTAATTTTTACCTTTGAATGTAGTACAGGGGACTTTGTGTGTTTGTGAGTTTGTTGTTGGTTTGCTTGGTTTTTCTGAGACAGGTTTTCTCTATGTCGCCCAAGCTGTCTTCACAGGTAATCCTCCTGCCTCAGGCTGAGTGCTGAGTTTATAGACAGGTGGTGTTGTGGCCAGCCCTCTGTCTTTTTTTTTTTTTCATATCTTCCATTTGTATGTAAATTTACTATCCATCAGGAACTGACTTTGTATATGATTGAGACACGGGTAAAATTTTATTTCATATAGCCCCATATATCATAAAATCCAACCTTTCCCTACCATACAGGTAAGACCTTTGCCATAAACCAAGTGATTATGTCTGTATAGGGGTTTTTTTCCTGAATTTTTTTATATTCATATCTGTCTAAGATTTTATTAGGGTTGCACTGTATCTGTGAGTTAGTTTGAGCAGAATTAATAAAGTCTTGAGTCTCCACTCCTTGGTCATGTTGTACCTTTCCATTTAAGACATTTTTCTCTTTAAATAACATAATTTTCGGTAGAGATTTCACTAACCTTTCAAGAAAGCAAGTTAGGTGAGGAAGCAGTCTTGTCATTCCTGCTTATTAGGGATGGCCTGAGAGACACGGTACTAGAAAGTGCACTTTTAAAGTTTGATGGGGAAAGCTGCAACCAGCTTAAGAACAATAGTGTCAGGATCTTTTCAGGGTGGGAAAGGTCCCCGTGTCCTCAGACTGGAAAGAAGAGAGCTTGGAACACCATTGATTGAAAGGAAGCAGACATGAAGGGATTGCCCAGAGGCTACAGAAAGAAGGAATAAAAATCACTGTGGGGTCATTTTGAGGCAGGATATTTTGTATGTGGTATCACCTTAGTAACAGTGACAGTTTTCCAGACTGGTAAACAGGACCACACCGTCGTGGGCACTGTGTGCATGTCCCTAGGCACCAGATCCCACATGCGATGCCTGAAGCAGTTAGACTTGCCACTTTAATATAATGCAGTCTGCATTTGGAAATCCTGATTTGTTTTAGCAGAGTATACACTTTCTGTTTTCTCTACTGGAGGTGATGCCTCTATAGCCATTTTCCAGTTGTCCCTCTTCCAGTGTCTGAGTTAGATTAAGGCTTAGTAGAAAGCAGCTCTTCCACACAGTCTTTTTTTAAGAGGTACAGTCTCGCTCACATGCATATACCACACATACAAAGAGGAAGAGGGAGAGAGAGAGAGAGAACATGCCAGGATTTCACTCACATGAATGTACTACACACATACAATACACTTGACCTCCAGTGATCCTACCCTCAGCATCCCAAGTAGCTAGAACCCCAGGCTGCCCCACCACACCAGTGCTCCCATAAAGTCTTCCATAAAATCTGGGAGAATATATGAAGATAGGAGGGTGCTGTGATGTGGAACTTGAGTCTCAGGTTACAGAAGGATCTGGCTGACTCAGGAGCACAAACTTAGTTTTGTAGGTTAGCAAAAAACTGTCCTGTTCCAGGAGTATTTCTGGTACTTTTTGCATGCAAAGATTTCAATATATACAAAGAAAATTATGCCTAAAGAGGAAAGTCATGGGAACATGCTACCTACAAATTATGATAAACTACAGAAACCAACTAAACAACAACTGAAAAAGCCTAGTACCTTTCACTATAGTATTTGCAATAGGGGTTCCTCTGACATTTCATAAAACAGAGTGTCTGCCAGCTTCCGTCTCAGTAATGGCTGTGTGAACCTGTCATCTTACAGAGGGAGGAGTTATACTGGGTTCATCATCAGGAGTTGTGCTCATGATCAGTTGCCATATTGTTTTTGGGTCTGTAGCAAGGCAGCTCTGCTCTCTTTGTGGCTGGAGCACACAGAAAGAAAGATCAGCTGGGAGTCCTACAGTCCCCTACAAAGGCACACCTCCTCCCAGTGATCTGTGACTGTCTACCTCTTAAAGGTTCAGCCATCTCTGGAAGTAGTGTTCCCATCTGGTACCAGGCCCTTAACCCTGACTATGGATTAAACCATCTAACACAGCTGTTCTCAGCCTTCCTAATGCTGCGGCCCTTTCATACAGTTCCTCATGTTGTGCTGACCCCCAACCATAAAATTATTTCCGTTGCTACTTCATAGTGTAATTTTGCTAGTTATGAATTGCAATGTAAACATTTTTGGAGCTAGAGGTTTGTCAACCCCCAGATTGAGAACTACTACTCTAAAGCCATGAACTAAAATAATAATTCCTCCTTTAAGTTGTTTATATCAGGTATTTTGTCCCAGCAATAAGAAAAATCTAATTCAAAGTCCAGTAGACACCATGTTATTAATGTAGAATGTTAGTGTGTTTTTACAGTGTGCTTTACTGTCTTAAAAATATCCCTGAGTTGCTGGGGACAGAACCCGGTGGTAGAGTGTTTGCCCAGCATGCACCTGATTTCCATCCCCAGAACCTCCAAACACAAAATAGATTTTTTTCCTTAGCTCTTCTTACATTTACACATCAGAATGAATTTTAGAGTCAATTACCAGATTCCAAAAAAGGCTTTTGGGATTTGACTTGGAAACACAGTGTACTGTTAGATGAAAGTCAATGAGTTTAGCTCCTGTCTTTAGGTACACTAAGGTTTAGCATGGTCTAAATGGCCTGAATTTCCAGATCACAGTCAGCAGTCAGCAGAGGGAAGTCTCTCCCTGACTGCCACACGAGGCACATCTTCATTCTAGCTCATTCTTGGCTCAGAACGTCTAGAGGCTCGTGAACAGTGAGGCCATGAGAATACTACCCTGCCCTTTAATCTGCTTTTCCTGGGTGTTCTTATCCAGTTTATGACAGTGATTACAATAGTTAACCCTTTTCAGGCGTTCTCTGGTGCATTGGGCATTATCCTGCCCTTCAGCTGTGATTGTCATTAAGTCCTCTAAAGCAGCTCTGAAAATGTTACTGCCATATCCTACAGAAGAGAATAGTGGTAGAGGGTATGTCAGCCAGTAAAGGCGGTGCTGACACCGGGGCCCAGGCATCCTAACTGTCTGTGTTCTAAACTGTACTTTCCCGCCCTCCTTTCCTGAATGCTGCCTGGCATTTGAAAATGCCCATCTTTCTGTCCATTCCACGGCTAGCACTGTCACAAATGGTTTCTATTCTCCTCCCGGAGCCCTACCCTGAGAAGGCTGAGATGTACATGTGCTTCCTCTACCTCCCGGTCCTCCCTCTCTCTCAGCCCTATTCAATTAACATTCGAGAACCTTCTCAGAAGATGAAGCCAGTCTTGTCACTGTGCCATTTCAGAATACAGGATTCCCTTGAATTTTGCATGAGATTGGGTTGAACTCTAGCTTCATGCGCGGTCTCTTCAACTCCATCCTTCTCTACCCACAGCCCGCTTTAGGATCCAGCATACTGAATGGGGTTTTGATCTGCCTCTGATCTCCAGGCTACTCCACTCTGGCTCTTGAGACCCAGATACTAGCCACCTTTAATGACTCCTCCTCAGACACCCCAGAATAAAACAATTGTGTGTTTTCTCTCACAGCATGCCCTCATGCCTCTGTGGTGGATTATTGACATGCTTACTCTGTCATCAGCCTACAGGGAGTTTCAGGACAAGGACCCGATCCTGTTGTCTTTAAGACACTCAGCAACTGTTGGAGGTTTAGAGAACTGTCCAGTGGGCTCTGAAAACAGCAGAACATTGGGAATGATGTGTCTCTTCTGAGCAGTGGGCTATGCTACCTGTCAAAATAATCTCTCCAGCTAACTTAGCAGTCTCAGGGCCCTGCTAAAACACAGCCGTGTATAGCAAAGGGAAATCTCCCTTGGGCAGGAGCACCACACAAAGTTGAGGTCCTCAACCCATTCGAGGTTGTGAAATTGGAACAGTGGACACAGCCATCCCCATGAAGTCAACACTACAAGTTACAGTAGTTGGCCTTGAACTTAAAACAATGGTCATTATTTTCATGGTCAGAGTCTATGAACTTGTATGGTTTTTTTGTTTGTTTGTTTGTTTTGTTTGCTTTTTTGTTTGATTTGGCCTTGGTTTTTCAAGACAGGGTTTCTCTGTGTAACAGTCTTGGCTGTCCGAGAACTCTCTTTGTAGACAAGGCTGGCTTCAAACTCACTTGAAATCTGCCTGCCTCTGCCTCTGCCTCCCAAGTGTTGGGATTAAAGGCATGTGTCACCACCGCCTGGCATGAAACTTGTATGTTTTGGTCATTCTTTTTGATGCAGGAAGGTCAGCCCTGTTTGTAATTTCTTTCCTGACGAATCCCCACTCTCAACACAAGTAAGGTGCTCTCTGCCTGAATGCTGCCTCTCGTTTCCCTTTCAGCTTCAGAGTGAGCTGGAGAAAGTGGAAGGGGACAATGCAGAGCTGCAGGAGTTCGCTAACACCATTCTTCAGCAGATTGCTGATCACTGCCCTGACATCCTTGAGCAAGTTGTCAATGCCCTGGAAGAGTCTTCCTGATATGCTCCAAGGAAGGTGATCAAGGAGCCAGAAAGGAGAACCTGAGCAGCAGGTGTCTGAGCCGCCTCTGTACCAGACCCTGCCATCTGGAGGTGCGAACCCGGCCCATCTGTGTCTGTCGCCATACTCTGCCTTCTGCTTTGAATGTTGTCTCTGCACAAATCTCCTTGGTCTCCATGAAGAACTGCCCTTGTCATCAGCAGCAGAGAGCTGGGGAGGCCGGCACTCTGCCCTTCCAGGAACAGGAAGCCAGAAGCCCATCCGGCTCATCTGGAGTCCACACAGAGTTCTGTGCTTTGAGAGCTCAGTGCTGACGCACTGGAATGTGTGCTTTCTCCTCAGAGGGTAGAGAAGGAGGGAGCAGGAGGCCATGGATGAAGAGAAGAGCGCTTCTCTGCATGCCCCTCATGTTTACCAACCTTGCTTGCTGTCATGACCATCAGGTAGAGGCAGCTTAGCTCTCAGGCAGCTGTGAACCCTGGCCTGTTGCCTGTCTCACCTACACTGCTGTCTGATGACAGGAGGGTCATGTACACAGTGGTCACCCAGTTCACTCTTGCTAAGACCTTTGACCTTCCCATACTTGACTGTTAGGTTAAATGTCTGACCTGAAGAGAAGAGGGTTTAACATGAAGGGCCCTGTTGTCATTGCTTGCAGCTTTGCTCCTCAAGAGAAGATGTCCCATAGGGCCATGCTGATTCCTCCCAAACATCACCCACAATGCTGTCTTCTCCCTCCACCCTGCCCCAAGCTACTGTAGAACAGGGGTTACTAGAGTGTGTGATCTACTACCCACCTTCTCAGCTCTACTCTTAAGGTTCAGCCTTAGAGTCACAGCCTCGTGTCCTGCCTAAAAGCTTCTTTTGGAACAACTGAGTTTATCTTATCTTATACACATTCTTTCCTCTATTCATTCATTCAAAAAACATTATGAAATGCCTTCTGTGTACACTTAAGTGTGTGAGGCACCCATCTTTGGAAAAGCCTCTGATAGGGAGAAGTGTGGGGATCCTGTAAGGTGCGCTCATTTGAATCATAGTGGTGAAAGCAGACCTTCTCCTTCCCAGACCAGCATCCTTTGTTCCCACTGTTGATTCATCAGTGGGCTTGAGTGGCTGAGCCATGTCTTTGCCTGCAAGGTCCCATTTGGCAGTTCAGGATCTTTGCTGTCAGTGTTGTTACCCTGAAAGGTATTCTGTACCTGTCCATTTGTGTCAGCTGACTGGTTAACACATGTATACACACCCTGTGGATTTGGCCAGCGCCACGCTGAAACCAGGTGCAGAGGACAGCTATCACAAGCAGGCTCTGAGAAAAAGACAGTGCAGCACACATCTAGTCCTTTGTTCCTGAGGCAGACACCTGGTGCTACCATCTTCTGATGGGGCTGCTGAAGTCTTTTGCCTTGTGTTCCCTCCTCTCTGCCCTCTACACTCTCAAAAGAATTTAATGCTACCTGTAAATCCCTCATGGCCCTCAACTGAGGACAGTCACATCCCTGTTTCCCTTCTTCCCTGCCATAAAGTGTTCCCTTGTGTGAGATGCTGAGGAGTGTTCCTCACGGGGGTTGAATGGACTCTGTCATGAACCTCAATGAGACACTTTCAGAGATCTCCCTCTGGCCAGGAACATGGAGATGTGGCCAGAAATGAGGATCATTGCTGCTCAATTCTCTCAGTTCTTTTTATCGTCCCCTCCATAGGTCCTGTAGAAGACCCCAGTGTTTCAGGATAGGGAAGTTAGAATCTGAGTTTATGCCCAAAACGTAAGGAACCACCACCTAGTAACAGCTTCTCAGGCTACTGATGCTGTCCGGCTCTTCTCCAGCTGCTCTGGGAGGTACCACACCAGGCAGGTGTCCTTGGTATTTGTTAGCAAGGGTTACTGTCTGCCACTCGTTACCTTTTCATTCTCTACTCTAAAACTTTTCTCCATCAGGTCCCTCCAGAGAGGCTTCAGGAGGCTTCTGGGCCACATGCTTGTTGGGAAGGCAAGTTTGTAAGGCAGACATTATCTGATCTCTGCACCTTAACAAGGGGATTTCCTCCTTGGGACTCAAAAGCTTCCAGAGGCTGTGGAGCTAAAATTGAACCATAAACATGGTCTTTGTGTTAGGGGAAGTTAATAGGTTATCTGGCATTCGAATCTTACTGACTTTATGTCATTCATTGGGCCAATAATTACTAAATACATATCTGCCATTGCACTAAGACATGTCATCCCATGACTGTCTTCATGCACTTATGTTACTCAAGGCATCTGGCCTTGAGAGCTCACTGAGGGTTGGTTAGGATCATCCCCATCACTTCATTCCATTGTCAAACCTCATACACTTTGCACCTAAACACCCCTGCCCCAAATGAAGGTCATTGTGAGGGTGACAGTAAGAAATGAGGACTGGAAACCAACCTGGGGCTCCTAGCTAAAGCAGCACCATATGAGCCCGGTGTCCTTAAGGAGGCCTTGTCCCAGGTCTCCATTGACTGACTGGTGTCACATCGGAATGGGATTAGCAAGGACTTAAAGACCATTAAAGATGGAGAAGTCGGAGTGGGCTTCAGCAACTGGAGATGTGGAGGGTGTGCTCCAGTTCCCGTCAGCCTTTCTTCTCACACATCTTCCTGAAGTCTGAGCGTACCTCTTCCTCACCTGTGGGCCTTAGAAAATGTAGGAAAGCAGACTGAACTGGAACCACCGACAGCGGGTTTGCTGGTCATGCTGTGGCTGGCCACATCCCATCCATGTGTTTGGCTTCCTGGGAAGAATATGTTGGCTCACTTTCTCCCTCGCGAGAAATGAAGTCAACGCAGATGGTTCTCACGTGCTACTGTCCTGCCCCTCCACTGTTGACGCTGGGATTGATTTGGCATCACACCCTCCTGTTTGACTGAAGCACAGGCCCACTGGCCTCCCTCCAGGTCTTTGAAGAAGAGCCAAAGCAAGGCTATGTAGAATGTGACACTCACAGGCCTAAGTCCCAGCAGGCCCCATGTCAACAGGACCGGTAACTCTCAAGTCTGCCTCCCCAGCCTCACCTCCTGCCTGCAGAGTCCAGAGCTGAGGAAAAGGAGCAAGAAGGATGAGGCTGCGCCACAGGCCTGTTGGGCACCCTCCGTCACTGCCAGTCTCAGAGCTTTTGACCGTTCAAATACATGTTCCCTCTCGTGAACCAAGACAATGTTCAGGGATGAAGAAAAGATGCGGCCTGGGATCCTTCTGAACAAAATGGCTATCTGTACACTTTTTAAACAAAACTTTCCAAACTTTTTAGTGTCAAAATGGTAACCAAGTGTCTCTTGATTCTTCCCACTGTGTTTGTCAAGTGCTGTGACCCTATTGTAGGTATTTCTCCTCCTGCCTCTTTTAAGGGAGAAGTGATTGTAGGGGTTGATTTTTGGGGGAGCGGGTTATCTGTCCCGTCCCGCTACCTCTTGTCTCTCTGCTTGTTGATATTGTCTGTGTGATTCAGAGAACTGGGGCAGTTACATTGTGTCCATTGTTGAGAATATTAAAATATTAAAAAGTAGTTATAGAACTGAAAAATTAAAGAGCTGTGTTTTTAAAAATGCAATCCCATAAATAATCATGTTAACAAAGGAATTCAAGCTATGGGCAGCCTAGCTCCTCCCCCTCCAGGTTGGTGAGGTGGTAGCCAAGCCAGCCCTTGGGAAACACTACCACACTTGAGGTAGGTGATTGCCTGGGAACAAGAGACACCTGCTCAGTGGAGAAATGAGAATCTGGGCCTCAAAGCCTCTCAGTTGTGTCAGGGTTTTCTATACATCCTCAGGACCTCTGAGTAGAGACTTCAAAGCTGGTGACCCCAGAACCACCCTCACCCTCACTTTGGATCAAGCCTTGTGTGCCTAATGCTGTGTGGTAACCTGGACTTGGGCCTGCTTGCCAGGCCACAGGACCTCTTCCTGCCCACTTGGTGCTATTTCATCGTGACCATCCAACAGGGCAGCCTGGTCTCCAGAGCCTGCAGCCAGTGCCATGGGTGGCCCTCAGAGCCTGGCTCTCTCTAGTTTCAGATTCTAGATTCTTCCCTTTGAAGCTTTTTAGACCCAAACCCCCTTGGCTCCAGAAATACCAGAGTTAAGAAAGGAACTGAGCCAGGCTGAGGCAAGGAGATCCACCTATGCCACAGTGAGCACAACAGCCCAGCCCCTCTTCCCGGCCACACCAGTGTTACATCCATCCTTTAAAGCATATGGTCCCACCTGAGGCATGTACCATCCCTTGGGCAGGTGGGCCGCCCAGTGCAGACCAGAAACTTCAGCTTTATTCTGCACCCCTACTTCAGAAGAGGCATGTTGCACTTTAGTGGGGAGCCCAGAATACTGGGCACTGGCTTCCTGTAGCTTGAGTCCCTGTAGATAGCAGTGGTGGCAGTCTGATGGCTTGTGTGAAGCAGCTGCAACTGCTGTCCTCAACTGTGCACATGCGTGCAGTTACTAGCGTCGAATTGCCGGCCTGATGGTGACATTACAAAGACATTGTGCTCTGTTCAACTTTGCCTTGGTAATTATTGTAAACACTTTGTTCAAGTTTTTTTTTCTTTTTTATTCACGAACTAAATCCATCAGGAAATTATAAACTTATTTAAAAACTGTGTGCTGCAGCCTTCTTTAGTCTCTGCCAGCCTGGTCACACCCCTATGATGAGATTGGTTACAGTCTGGAAAAGCAGGAGACCAGCAGTCCGCAGGAGGCCGTCTCTCCAGTGGCAGACTAGAATCTGTGCACAACAGGTTCAGGGAGATCCACAGCAGACTGGCCTGCTAATGCAAGCCTGGTCCCAACAGGAAACTCTTAGATTCCCACTCCAGCTCTGGTTATCTTTCAAAGCCCACTTCCAATCCCCTTTTTCTTTTCACCCTGTTCCCAAGCAGGGTGTCCACATCAGACCTAACTACATTATGAAAGCATCCATCACCCAGGAGGAGTAGAATAGTTTACACCAAGGTGGTAGAGGAATAGGTGTGGCCAGAACTGGGATTCCCATTTCAGTGGTGTGTTCTGATGGCTACCTCAGATGTGGGCTGCTTCTGCAAGTACTTCATGAACACCAATACTAAGAGAGTCAGGAGACCCATCCATAATTATGGACGTCATTGTCTGCTCCAGGACATCCTGAGGCCTTGTGCCCATAAGAAGTGTTCTGGGATGTTTTAGAGAGCTCATATCTGGTTAACTTCGTGTCTGTGTCTGTCTTAGGGAGGAAGAAGAAAGAAAGTCATGCTGAGCTTGGCACAATGGCTCATGCCGGCATCCTCAGTACTCAGGAGTCTGAGGCAGAAGGTTCAGAGGAGATGAGCCTGTCTCAGAGACTAAAGCCTCTGCGCCCTCTCTCTTCTATGGAAGTTGTGGCACTTGGCTGTGTTAGTTGGTAGGAATTGTGAAATGAGAGAATCAAGCATTTTCAAGCCCTTTTCCTGGCAGCGCAGCTGTGTAGAAGTATGCCAGGCAAAGCAGTACCTGACCTTGTTCCCCGGCTGAGGAACAGTGCTGCACCTGGTTGCATCATGAGAAATAGGAACAATGTGACTAGCAGAGTGAATCCTGTGCTCAGCAGCCTGAAGCCACAAGCACAAGCAGACCACACTAGTCAGCAGTTTCCAGGGTTTCCCATTCATTCCTTTAAACTAACTTATTCGCTCTGTTGTCGACCAGTACTTAGCTACAAAGGATCACAAGCTTGCATATGGTGCACATAAACCCATGTGGGTACACACCATCTTTTTTAAAAATGGTAATAATAAAAAGACATGAGGATAAAGCATAATTATGTTTTCCTTAATGAAAGCTCCTTGGAAGCACAAGGTTACTCTTCTGCATATCTGTGAGCTGTTTTAAAATGATCCAGCTGTGTATTGGAGAGAGCAAGGAGCAGGACATAGCTGCAAGGAGATTGGCTGGAGAGTGGGTGCTTGAAGCTGGGTATCAGGCTCTCAAGGGCTACTGGTAAGCCTTGCTCCCTTTTCTGAGGTCTGTGAGATTCCTTGATCAGCCCCCTCAGGATCACTTGTCTCTACTGTGTTTTCCCAGTCACCACACACAAGCCTCTTCCCAAGACCATGTATCCCATTCTAAAACGGCTTCCTGAGTACACATCCCTCAGCTCACTCACTTCCATAACTCCTGTCGGGGACATCTGGGTACAAAGACCAATACTGTCAGCTGTTCCCTGTCTGCTGGGCTCTGGTGATGGCTTGTCACATCCCATCCCCACAGCCTGTTACCCATTTGCCAGATGAGACAGACAGGAATCTCAGGACAGCCAGCAAAGGTGTGGCAAGGTTTCTCTGGTGTTGGGGCTCCCCACAGCTGTGGTTGCTTTTGGACTAGGGGAGGACACTAGTCCCAGCACCAAAGGGAAACCCAGAAACAGAAGCACTTTGTAGATCCTCAAGTTGGTCCATACAAGATGAATTTGACCCCTGGTGGTGTCAGGATTGGGGCTGAGAAGGTTGTGTGGGCAAAAAACAAAACAGTGCACAGGTGTCCCAGCTAAGCAGTGGCCTTTGTGGACCCAGGAAGCACTGCTCAGCTGAAAAACAAGACCCAGACACGATGGCTACAATGTGCCTTAGATGATGGGTTGCACCTGTATGGTAAAAAGACCTTTGTTGTCCTGAATGGGTGGCCAGCTGGGAAGAGCAACACCTCCCATCACCAGCTGTCCACTCTGCACAAACTCATAAAATAGGAGCACCTTACCCCTGCAGGACTGGAAAAAAAAAAAAAAAAAAAAAAAAAAGCTAAGAAGGGGAGCGAGTACCTGGCATGGCAGCCCTGAAAGCCAGCACCTTGCTGGCTCTGAGGGTGGGGGAAGCTCCCTGGGCCTGGAAGGCAGAAGCTGCTAAGAACAGAACACAAGGTCCCTGCACCAAGCAGTGTCTGTCAGCACAGGATCCACTGCCTGCCATTATTCACCATTACCTTTTCTGGTAGAGAAGCTAAAATGCAAGCTAAATATCTCAGAGCTACACAGTCAGCTAGTGAGAGGCCTGGATCATTCCTTTGTCAATGGATTTCCAGGCTTTTCTGAGGTCCTGTCATAGGGCCAGGGAGTGGGATGGTGGCATCCGACAGAGACTCCTGCCAGCCTCACAAGGGTGGAGGCATCAGGGCCACATGCTGGCTATGGGCTCAGGGGAAACAAAGGACGTGTCTGGCCTGCTCACTATCGAGTTGGATATGAGTCACATGGTCTCGTGTTGTTGAACACCGTTGAGTTCCTGGGAATTGGGCAGTTCATCACTTAACATCCTAGTCATCTCAGGCTAAATTTTACCAGGAAGGGATGATATAGGCGGATAGCGTGCCACATCAGTGTTCCTGGTACATACATCACCCCTTTACTGTGTCACCTGGGGAGTAGGCTGTTCCACACAGCACTCAATGGCTTATGGGGTGCCATGGTATGTTTATTTGCCCCAAAAGCTCATGTGTTGGAAACTTCCAAATTTGTGTTGATGGTATTAGAGGTAAGACTTTTGGAAGACAATTAGGGTTCAATGAGGTCACGAGAGTGGCGCCCCACCATGGGGGAAGAGGCCCTAGCGGCACGCTACCCAATCACCAATATGGTGTCTTCCGCTGTGTTAACCTGTACACCGAGGCCCTGCCAGATGCAAGATGATGTCATCCCCACGCGCTCAGACTCCCAGCCAAACCGATCCCATTCCTTACGAAGTGCACTCTCAGATGGCATGGTACAGTGTCAGGAAATGGACTGTCACAGGTGGCACAGAGCATTCACAGTCACATCCATTGGACTCCCACAGCCATGAGCCAGGCCCAGTGCTGTTTCGGCAGCATGCTGACATTCCCACAAGGCCATGCCTGCAAGGCAGAGCTGTCCCGAAGTGAAAGAGACAGATGGAAACAGAACACTTGTCCTGTTGTTAAGCTGACAAAGAACCAGCCGAAAGCTTGACCGTGGAGGCAAGGTGCGCACAGAGTTAAGATGCAGAACAGGTTCCCAGCTGGCCTTTGCTGCAGACTAAGTGTGTGGAGACGTTCCTTAAAGCTATGTACTTTTTACAATAGAGACAGTGCAGCCCCCACACTTCACATGTTTATAGCATGCAAACAAGAGGATGTACCATCTAGGGTATGACTCAGAGGGAGAGCCCTTGCCTAGTGTGTGGTCCATCCATCCCCACCACATCAGGGAAAAGGTGCACGAGAAAGTACCAAGCACCCGGCAATGAGAAGGTGAGCTTGACACCCGACAGTCATTTGTTATATTAAAATCACTTCTGAGCATAAGCTTGCTTTGGAAACCCATGAGCAACCCATGGAGATGCTGACAGTGTGTTTCCTCCTTCAGGAAGGGCGCTGCTCTCTGAGAGGATCTGCTTTGAGACCCAGCTCATGCCATCTGAAATCCCCCAGAGACATCAGCTAAAGATAAGAAAGCTAGCCCAGCATTGGTGGCGCATGCCTTTAATCCCAGCACTTGGGAGGCAGAGGCAGACAGATCTCTGTGAGTTCGAGGCCAGCCTGGTCTCCAGAGTGAGTGCCAGGATAGGCTCCAAAGCTACGCAGAGAAGCCCTGTCTCGGAAAACAAACAAACAAACAAAAAAATGAGAATGCTAAGGCCTAGAACAAGAAATTTCCCAGAGAGGGGAATTACCACCATGTATGTCCCAGGTTCCCTCCTGGTGACTGTGGGCACCAGTTCCTCCCCCAAGGAAGTTATATGCCAACAATCATATTGTTTCTGCTTTAGGCAGAAAGAAGCCCAGATAGCAATGGGCATGCCTCAGCATCTGGGCCCCATTGCCCCCCTTTGTGAGGATGGGCTCCCAAATAGGAGCTCTGCCTGCCCTGGCTCTTAGTCACTGTAACAAATGCGACACAGGGAGCCTGGAACTCAACATGAGATTCTTTGGCCAGGCCATCACATCATGGAGTTGAGGCCTCAGCGTGCTGACAACCCTCTTGGGATGTTTCTAAGCTCCCTACACAGACCTAAACGTGCAGAAGACACTTGGGGATGAGGTCAGCCTCAGAATGAGAGGCACCTTGATCTCCACCCTCTCCTTCCAGGACCTATAGCTTGCCTTTCTTCTCCTGTCTCCTCATTGTCAGCCTCAAGCCCCTGTAAGCAAGGACCATCCTTTCTTCTGGGTCCTCTGCAGGCCTACGCGCACGCACGCGCACCCACGGACTGGGTTTACCAAGCTTCACTGCTTCCCGCTAGCTTCTTATCCCGATGCCCCTGCCCCTGCCCCTGCCCCTGCCCCTGCCCCTCCTTCTCCCTCTCCCCCCGGCTGTGGAGCTGCCATTAAGGCTGTGCTAGCAATGAGCCACAGGTGGAGCCTATCTGTCCTGAGCAGCAGCTTGGAAGGAGACAGCTGGGCTCTGACCCTGGCGCTCAGGGTCCTGGGTGAGGCTCCCACCATCTGGGGCTGCCTCTCCTCCCCTGATCCTATCCCCTGGTCCTCCCAGCCACCCCCAGGAATTCCCACAGGGGTTTCTAAGAAGCTGAACCTGCCTTGGCGGGGAGGAAGCAACATCTTGGAATCCAGTGCAGGTAACAGTCCTCGTGGGCTCATTTGATATCCTGGGAACTTGCCAGCATTCTCCCAAGCATGTGTG